AATCAATGTCAATATGCTTCGTCCGTTCATGAAAAACTGGATTCGAAGCGATGTGCATGGCGGATTTGTTGTCACAAAAGAGATTGGCAGGTCCTTCCAAGGAAATCTGAAAATCTGCCATCAAATTTGTTAACCAGATTAACTCACAAGTAGCATTAGCTAATGATCTATATTCTGCCTCTGTGCTGCTCCTCGAAACCGTAGTCTGTTTCTTTGATTTCCATGAAATCAAAGATTCTCCCAGAAAAATACAGAACCCAGAAACTGAGCGTCTCGTATCAGGACATGTTGCCCAGTCTGCATCCGCAAAAGCATTGAAACGAAGAGCTGAAGATGCAGAATAAAACAGACCTTGCCCGGGGTTGGTTTTCAGATACCGCACTACCCTCTGCGCCGCTTGCATATGTATATCTGTTGGAGCTGATAAAAACTGGCTAAGCTTGTGAGTGGCAAACGTAATATCTGGTCTGGTTATGGTTAGGTATAATAACCTTCCCACAAGACGTCTATAACTTGTTATGTCTTCAAGAGGAGTTCCAGCATCTTTACTCAAATGCGTATTTGCATCAAGAGGTGTAGATACTGGTTTACATCCCAATAAACCTGAATCTGAGATTAAATCCAGACAATATTTCCTCTGACACAGTGATATTCCCTTCCTTTGTCGTGCTATCTCCAATCCAAGGAAGAATCTCAAATCTCCCAAGTCTTTAATCTTGAATTTCTGTCTCAGTAGGTCCTTTACTTCTGAAACTGCATCAACACTGTCACTAGCAATAACAATGTCATCCACATATACCAGTAAAGCTACAAAACCAGATTTTGAACGTCTCACAAATAATGTGTGATCGGCTTTGGACTGCTTGAAACCATCTTCGAGCAGAACACTTGCAAATTTATGGTACCATTGTCGACTGGCTTGTCGCAACCCATATAGAGATTTCTGTAATTTGCAGACTGCATCCCGAGGCATGTTTCCAGATTGTGCATCAGTATAACCTGGTGGCAGAGACATATAAATCTCCTCCTCAAGGTCACCATGTAAGAAAGCATTAGTAACATCCATTTGTGTAAGAATCCAGTTCTGTTTTGCAGCCAAGGCAAGGAGCAACTTGACAGTTACCAATTTTGCAACAGGTGAAAAAGTATCTATGAAGTCAACTCCCTCTTGTTGTGTGAATCCCTTTGCTACCAAACGAGCCTTGTATCGCTCTACAGATCCATCAGCCTTTCTTTTTATCTTGTAAACCCATTTACAACCTACTGCCCGCTTTCCAGGTGGAAGAGAAACTACAGACCAAGTTCCATTTCCAACCAAAGCATCAAGTTCAACATCCATGGCTTTTCTCCATTCAACAGAAGATACAGCTTCTTTGAAGTTTTTGGGTTCAGTTTCGGCACTAATGTTCAAGACATATTGCCTATAGGTGGGTGATAGATGGTCATAAGAAAGGAATTGAGAGATGGGATAGGCTGTAGAAACAGGAAGATCAACATTGTTATAAGACTGAGATTTTGTCAAATAACAATGATAATCTGTCAAATAAGAAGGTGGTTTTGTTTGTCTTTTTGGTCTGTGAAGAGTAATGGTAAGGTTGTCAGAATCATGTGAGGGAGCTTCTGAAACAGGCAATAACCTTGTATCAGAAGTCTGAATGGGTATGTCTGGTAATGAAAAAGGTAAGATAGAATTTGGAAACGGGTTTAAACTCTCTGTTTGGGTTGAATCATGGCTTGGTATGGATGCAAATGGGAATATGTGTTCATGAAACACAACATTACGGGATATAGTAATTATATTAGTGTCAAGGTCAAGAATTTTGTACCCTTTGTATCCTGGAGCATAGCCAATGAACACCGAACCTTTTGCTCTAGCTGAAAACTTATGTCGATCTGTAGTTAATGTTGAAGCATAGCATAGACATCCGAAAGTTCTCAGATGCGAGTAAGTTGGTTTCTGCCCCTGCAAAACTTCAAAAGGAGATCTGTTCTGCAACAAAGGCGAGACAGTGCGATTGATCAAATAGACTGCTGTTCTGATGCATTCATCCCAATATCCCAAGGGTATCTGTGACTGAAAATATAATGCCCGAGCTACATTCAAAATGTGCTGGTGCTTTCTCTCCACTACTGAATTCTGTTGAGGTGTTTGCACACATGAAAACTGATGAGTGATGCCTTTACTACAGAAAAACTCAGTAAAGGAAAGCTCTGGAGCATTATCGGATCTGAAAGCTTTTATCTTTTTATTATATTGCCTTTCAATGAGAGCTACAAAATCAGGAATGATCTGTAGTACATCACGCTTACATCTCAGCATATAAACCCATGTGACTCTAGAATGATCATCAACTATAGTAAGGAAATATCTATGACCCTCATTAGAAATTACAGAGAAGGGGCCCCATATATCTATATGCAAAAGATCAAAAGGAAAAGGAGACAAATTGTTATTGGAAACAAAGGGAAGTCTCTTTTGTTTGGCTTGGTGACAGACTTTGCAGTGTGGTATGGCTTTGTATTTGGAGATGGAAAGGTCTGTGGACAGGGTCTTTATTTTCTGATCTGAAGGATGGCCAAGTCTGGTGTGCCACAAGATTGTGTCATCACCGAGAGCGTTACATGAAATGGAAAATGGAGGTG